CCTGTGATGGACTGGCGTCCTGTCCAGGGTGTGTGTGTGCCCTGTGATGGACTGGCGTCCTATCCGGGGCGTATCCTACCTTGTGCCTCTTGCTTGCCGGGATAGACTCTGGCTCCCCTGTGACCCTGTATTAGATAAAAGAATGGATGGTTACATTGTAAGTAAATGTACAAAGCTGAATCAATCCCAATTGGATACAGATTCCAGTGGATAATTACCTAGATTTGATTACAAGAAATTATGTTGACCAATGTAAGTGTGTTCACGGTATGTCGCGTCCCATGAGGTTCTTGGGTTCGAATAGCTTTTCTGTCAGGAGGTTTTGTTAAGTTAAAATCCTGAGCTGTCATTAATATGAAGAGTTCTAGAGAGTCATCACTCTCCAATATCAACTCAAGCTTTCATGGAACAAATTGGGCATCAAGTTAATATTAAAATAGTGTCAATGAACTGGAACTTGTGCACCTTAATCCATCCATTTCCTAATCGCTATCCAGTTCAGGGTCGGGGGGGAGCTGGAGCCTATGCCAGTAAGCAACAGGCACAAGGCAGGACACACCCTGGCCGGGACACCAGTCCATCACAGAGCACACACACACACACTCACACACACTCACACCAGGGCCAGTCCATCTCAGGGCTCACACAAACACACACGTCTCTGGACTGCGGGAGAAACCTGCATAATGTGATGGAAGTGTTACAGTGTTACAGAGCGCTTCACCCACCTGTGTTTTGCTCCAGACGCACTGCTGCTGAAGTACTCGAAGGTATCGGACTCGTGGAGCGCCCGCGAAACCCAGGTTCACATTGGCGCCTCCACCGGGAAGAAAGGCAAACAGAGGTCAGCGTTCTGGGTCCAGTTTCTACATCAGGAAGAAGTTCTGGGCAGGTAAACCAGTTCGGGCAGTTTCTCTCTGAGCCAGCTGAAGCCTGCCCTTCAGATCTTAGATAGTTCCAGTTATCAAAACGTGGGTGGGTGACACCCGAAAGCAGTAGCAAGACACCTCTGAAGACTGGGGAGAACAACTCCAGTTCTCCCATAGACACTGAAGCACATTTTAATAGCACATTTGGCGGAGCGGTGACTCTGTGGCTACGGATCTGCGCCTGTGGCTGGAAGGTTGCCGGTTCAAATCCAGCGGCCGGCAGAGGAATCCTACTCCGTTGGGCCCCTGCGCAAGGCCCTTAACCCTAACTGCTCCAGGGGCGCCGTACAATGGCTGACCCTGCGCTCTGACCCCCAGCTTCTCTCCCTGTCTGTGTCTCCATGGAGAAAAGCTGGGGTAGGCGAAAAGACGAATTCCTAATGCAAGAAATTGTATAAGGCTAATAAAGAAACATTAACATTAACGAAGCAGAGACGTCTTTTTCTCTTTCTCTCAATGCTACATGCGAGCTGTAAAACACTGCCTTTCATGTCTGCCAATATGAGATAAAACGAGTGATTACTGAGACGACAGAGGTATGTTTGTAAAAAGAATCGACTGTAAAATTACTATAATATCTGAAAGAAAACAAAAAGCTGTTTATTTGGCTCTGTAGTGGGGGTAGTAATGTAACTCTGTTCAGAGAGCTCCGCGGGTGAGATTTCGATATTGCAAGATCATACCAAATCTATCACTTTCACGCGGAGAACAGCCGGGGTCGAGATATGGTTTTGGTAACTGAGTAGTTAGGTTTTGGACTTATACCTGAAGGGCAGATGTGAAATCTTTATCAAGAAGAGCTTCCTTTCGTTTTATTGACCTTTTGGATGTGCCTGGCAGGTTTCTAAAAAGGCGCGAAGCTCCAGTAGATACGTTCTGAGACTTAAGGCTTGTTCATAAGTTTGGTCCAAAAGTCTAGTTTAGCCTGTCTTAGCCACAATACGTCTAAAATCCCATATTTCAGCTTTAATGGAACAGCTCTGAAAAGCACAACAGTTCTGAAACTGTGGCGACATGTCAACCTGCTGTGTGATCTGTCACGGATCCTTAGTTTTCTCCTGTATTCGATATGGACCCTTTTCATACCATCATGCGTTTTATATACCATTTAAAGAAATTGTTTCGACTGCTGTTCTTGCCGAGATCAACGGAGAAGTCTGGATTGCAAAATGCCCCAGGCTCCGCTGGTTTGCGGATTGGGTGTCGCCGACAGCTCTGCTGACACAGTCTAACCCCCCCGCGGCTGTTTCCTCTCCAGCTACGTGGGCAAGGAGTATCAGTCTGAGAAAGAGCTGCGTTATCACCTGAATGACGTGGAGCGTCAAATGACCGCACAGTACTACGTCACCGAGTTCAACAAGAAGCTGTACGAGAAGCAGATTCCCATGCAGATCTACTTTATCCCCTCAGAGGTCCTCCTGGTAAGGCTCTTTGTGCAGCAGCTGCAGACGAGAACAGGCCCTTCACAACCCATCCAGCCCCTTTGGGTAGCTGAAGGGGAACTGCGGCCCTATTTTTATATTTTGTCAAACGTTCACAGTAACTTGTAAAACCTCCAATTTATGTCGCAGAATATTATTTCCAGGCCTGCGCAGCGCCATGTTCTGCGATTCAGAATGAGCCAGCAAAACATCCGGTGAGGTGAAGTGGGCCTGATGACACTGTAAACAAGCAGGCTTGTGAATCCATCTCTTTTTGTCCAGTTAAAATATTGCTCTAGATTTCTAGACGGTTTCCCAGACAAATACTACTCACTTGTTATCTCTGCACATGCCGATCAGGTTGGAACATTTCTGCGGTGAAATGTCTGCTGCCCAGCTTGTGCGTATTCGCTCGTCCACACCATCACATCAGTCAGTACAGGGACTAGTGAGCAGGAAGGGCCGCCTCACGTCACAATTCTCACAAGCTCTCGCCCGTGGTGAGACCAGGGATTTGTAACAGCATGGTGACTTGCAGTACTTTCACAAAGTTCACCATTTCGTGCTTCATACGAAATTCGTACTTTTTTTCTATACCGTCAACAAATTTATTTTGTTACAGAGATTGAATAACTTTCTTAAGAAGACCACTGATAACTGTATTAAAATTTCATCAATTTGATTATTAAAATATCATTTCTTTCTAACCATGAAATATTAAAATAGTGTGGCAGTTCCCCTTTAATAATAATGATCATGATAAATCTTTCAATTATTGTAGCGTAACACTTTGTTTTTATAAGCTTCATGGTTTCTAGCCATGATATTTTTCAGCTATGTGGATGCTCTGAAGTGGGCATAAATGTTACCATTTAACCGTTATTAGACTTAAGGTTAAACAAACATCATGACTCCTAAATACTCTGATGCAGCCAGTGCTCAATATGAGGGGCTGATAGATACTTAAAGGGCCAGATCTTAAGTAATTTGAATGAGAAAAAAAAATAGATACCAGTCTGGAATTGGGCAGGATGAGTGATATGAGTTTGTAATGCAAAAAAAAACCCCGTTATGTTTATGCTTTTAATTTTTTTCTTGCTTTTTAATGACTGTTAAAAAAAGTTTTAAAAATGCGACTGACAGCGGACTTTGAACATTTCCCTCGTTTGTGCTTAGATTCTCGAAGACAGGCTCATAAAAGGATGCGTGAGCGTGGAGCCATACATGCTGGGGGACTTCGTTAAGCTAACGAACAACAAGAAGACCGTCGTGAGGGACTACAGAGCCACAGACTACGGGATAGCGTTCGGTCATTTCACCTTCGAGTTCTCGGGCCACACTGAGATTGTGGTTGACCTGCAGGGTGAGTTGGGGGAAAATGCTGCTCCCGTGTGTAAGAGAACTGCAGCGCTATTTCATATTTCGCGGTCAGAAAGAATCGGCATTGATGTAAAACCCCTGATTTACTGTACATCACAGAATAGACTGAATGTCCACGTCTGGGCAGCGCCATGTTCGGAACGAGGCAACGAAATGTCCCGTGAGGTGAAGCTGGTCTTGACAAAATGTATCATCAGTTGTATTGTTAAGCGCCTTGGGGCAACCTTGTTGTGAAAGGCGCTATATAAACATAAATTGAATTGAATTGAAGCGGCCTCACTATTACAAGCACCTTTTACCAATTATTATTACACTATACACAAGCAGGCTTGTGAATACATCTCTTTTAATCCAATAGAAATATTGTTCTCCATTTTGAGGTGGTTTTGTGACAACAACTACTGCTTGCTTGTTAACTCTGCCTGCAGATCACTTTGGGACATTTCTGTGGTGAAATGTCTGCTGCACGACCTGTACTTATTCGCTCGTCCATCACAGTGCATTAGTCATTTCAGGGACTAGTGAGCAGGAAGGGCCGCCTCACGTCACAATTCTTACAAACTCTTGCCCGTGGTGAGTCCAGCAGTTTGCAACGACACGGCGACTTACAGTACTTTCACAAAGTTCCCGATTTTGTGCTTCATTTGAAAGTTGGCAATTTTTTCTATTACGTCAATGAATTAATTTGTTACCGAGATGTAATCGCCGGCCTGAGAAATGGGGGACTGGAGTTCCCCTCTAAAGTCACTTTTTTGTGTGTCTTTTCTTGCAGGCTGGGTTACGGGAAACGGAAAAGGATTAACCTACCTCACAGACCCACAGATTCATTCGCTCAAGAAACCCAAATCTTCCTCGAATTTTTATCGGCAGGGCATAGAGTACTTCCTTCAAGATCAGCATGGAGCCGACTGCAATGAAATCTGTCAGATGCTTTCGCTCGGGAAACTTCCAGGGATGTAGGAACGTCCGAAAACGAGAGCTGCCCGTCGGCTCACCTGGCTCGTCAGGGAGCTGTCGGCTTGTTGATTCTAGGATCTTAGCCGGCTGTTTCCTGAAAGAAGCCAGGAGTATTGGATTCGGCAACTTGTTCCATACTCCCACTACCCTTTGGGTAAAGGAAGTACTTTTGGTCTAAAGAAGTAGTGCCCGTTGCTCTGGTTCGTGCTTCAGTGTTGATGCCCAAGACGTCCACTGTCTTGACTCTTGTCAGAAACACTTGAGGAGAGTTTCATCTCTCAGCAGGTTAAACATGTGGAAAACCTGGACACCTTTAGATCCTGCAGTCCTTTACCTCCATTCATGAATGACGCACTTTATACTCAAGCCTAAAACTAAAATGTTATCTCAAAGTCTGTAATGTATCAACTTATGTAAATAACACTGTCCTGTCATATTTTATTGTGTTTTTATTGTGTTGGAGCCCTGGATACAAGAGTTGGTTGTGCTGTCTATGGGGAGTTTGTATTCTCTCAGTGTTCAACTCCAGGTGCTCCACTTTCGTCCCACAGTCCAGAGACATGCTGGTGGGTTTATTGGCTCCTGGGAAAACTGGCCCTGGTGTGAGTGTGCGTGTGTCTAGGTGTGACCTGCAATGGACTGGTGTCCTGTCCAGGGTGTATCCTGCCTTGTGCCCGTTGCTTGCTGGGATAGACTCCAGCTACCCCTGTGACCCTGTACTGAATAAACATGACATTCAGTACCAGCCTGCCGAGCTTCAGACCTCTGCGAAGTTTGGAGAAAACAAAATTCCAAAGATCCCCAGTTCTGTCAAATTTTCAATAAAGCAACAAAAACATGGGATCTGCTGGTTGTCATTCAGCATTTGAAAATTACAGCAGAATAAAATAGTCATTTTGAATAATTATTAAAATAATGATGCCTCTCCTGCTTTAAGTCCAAGTAACAAATACAGTAATTCCTATGGGAAGGACCACGATTTAAACACATAAAACTATAAAGTATTCTCTACATATGTACATAGTTCAAAATTGAGTGAATGAACTAGTAAATAAGTTAGTTTGCTATTGACAATGACTGTGTGGGTCGATAGCTGCATACCAACGCCAACAGAAGGTCGCCGGAACCATCTTGCGCTGAGCCGGGGGAGGAGAGGGGACAGGTTTCCAGGCGGACCCGGCACAAAGCTGGTGATGGGGGGCGTTTCGGTAGCTGTGGAGTACCAATAATTTGTACTCTGGTTTGTTTTTGTCGAAAATGTCTGCGAGTTCAAAACTAACCATATCGAGCAGAATCTGAAGTAGCATTATTGGCTTTCAAAAAGTCGCCAGTAGTACTGCATATAGGCTGTTGGTGACCATTTCACTCGCCTCAGGGGCGTTTCGCATTATTTTGTGTTTTTCCGTGATTCGGATCATTGAATTGATCGAGGTGAGTACAGCGCATCGTTATGAGCCGTTTCTGACACAGATCTGGGGTCAGCGAGTTGACTAAATTACGTGTCGCTAAAAATATTGCCAGAGGCAAAACGGTCCGTATCGGCTCATAACATTTCCGACAAGTGGGGACATCGTGAAGATTTCACACATCTTTGCAAATGAAGAACAGTGTTTTCTAGTAAAAATCAAAGTTTAGTTTGTAGAAATTATTTTATTGTTACAGTTAGCAGCAGGTTTACATAAGCAAGCATTCAGGTGCACAATAGTGCAGTTTATCTTGTAAAACACTCGCACACAACGACACGACAGTTGAGTATTTTCGCGGTTCATGTACACAATGCCAAAATAAGGTGGCTTTTATCTGAATCCTGGGGACTCCACACTGCTGGTTTTCGTACCTCTAGAGCGCCTTACGTAAATATTTCATCGAAACAAGTTATTTCACTTTGATCTTTTGAAGTTTTCCGTCTTTAAAACTAAAATTTTAAACGTAGGCTTCGAAAAATAGCATTCCCATAACCTAATATGTAACGCAATATTAACATGAAAGTATTATATTTTAAGTTGTTTAAATTATAAAGGCAACCCTCAAACTACTTAGGAACTGAAGCCAACCATGATAGTTTAATTTAATTTTGTGACTAAGATAAGGGTTCAGGTTCAGTGAGGGGGACATTATACTGTAATAATGGCGCCGTCTTTCGGATGAGATATAAAACTGAGGTCCCGAGTCCCTGGTCAATAAAAATCCCAGGGTGTTTCTCAAATAAAGTAGGGATGTCCTGGGAACATTTCCACCTGGTCTTTACCAATCATGAGCGTACTGGTGTGTCATCCAGGTAGGGTGACACACTGGTGGGGGTGGAAGGGATCCCCATTACCTGTCAACAGCTTGTACTGTAGTGGGTAGGAAAGCTCTATATAAGTGTAAGGAAATATTATTGTTGTTGTTGTTACAAATGGGTGATTAAAAATTGTGAAAATCAGGAAATTAACTGATTGGTTTAGTCAATAAGTAAAATAAATAGTCATATCCCCAATTTGTAAGTTATATATATATACCCGAGCAGTTGGTATAATTAGAGGCACACAAAGTCTTTGTTCTCCAGCAAAGCTTGGTGAAAAGAGTTATATTCCAGGCACATTTGGTTAAACAACTGTTTCTTACAATGGCAAGACACAAGCTACACTACACACAACGAAACATGAAACACAGAACAGTTCGCTCTAACAAGGTTCAGAGACTTAGCTCCAGTCAGGTTTGGTTTGGATGAAGTAGGGGCTCTCGCCTGGCGCAAGCTTCGAGTTCTAACTCCTCTCCTCTCAATATTCTTCTCCTCCTGTTTCTTCTTGTGATCTGATATTGTGTGTTTCTGTACTGCTCATTAACAGCCATTAACCTACGATGTGCCTAGGTATACCAAAGTCAACTTTACATTGGCTTCTGATCAAGGGACCCCCACATCTGAACAAACAACCTCTCTGCATTGAGGTTGGAAGTGTTTACTCTGCCCAGTGTCACAGACTTTTATCGAAAATCTCAGAGACACTTCTCAGTCACCTAAACCTGTAATGATGTGTAAGAAAGGGTACTGGGTACAGCCCTGATGGGACACCAGCCCGTTGCAGGGCAGATGCAGACACAAATGTTCACACCAGGACCGATTTTCCCTGAAGCCAATTCCTTTGGAAGGAAACCGGAGCACCTGGAGAAAACCTCATGCAAACCAACAGAGAACATGCAAACTCCACACAGAACAGCACCCCCTCCTCAGCCCTATCTCTCTGTGGCTCTCCCCATGTGCAGATGCCTTGTGTGTTTTTCAGGGTTGGAAGTGCTCTCCCTCCCGGTGTGTTTCGGCGGCTCTCACCCTGTTTCTCCTTTCCCAGATGCACTGTGAGCTGACCAGTCAGTCCGAGGGCGGCCCGGCTGTCCCGCTGGCTGACGGCCGTGCAGTGATACTGGGCCGCGGGCCAGAATCAGGAGTGTCGGACAAGAAGTGTTCCCGACACCAGGGTGAGTCAAAGCTTCAACTGGGATTGATAATAATAATAATAATAATAATTGCTTACACTTATATAGCGCCTTTCTGGACACTCCACTCAAAGCGCTTTACAGGTAATGGGGATCCCCTCCACCACCACCAGTGTGCAGCCCCACCTGATTGATAGATGTGGGGGGGGGACATTGTGGGGTTCTGCAGCACTGATATCCATGTCTCACATTTGGGATAGGGGAGACGGCCCCCCTAGGCTTATATGTTGTAGCTAATTTAGCAGTAAAGTGACTTTTCTTTCCCCATCAATGACTTCCCTATTTAAATCTTCTTTCATTAGAGATAGAGCTGTGATCTACAACACCACGTTCTCTAAGTAATACGGCAGCGCATGGAAAGCTCCTGTCTAACTCCGCGTTTTTGTTATGGAGCGTGCAGAGAAGTTTTACAGTTTCCTTCCCAAAGCTATCCGTCTGAGGTTTTATCTTCCATCTGTAAGCTTTTTGTAAAGCTGCGTGATGTGGGACGGGCCTGGTTTGTTTCCACGGCTTCTGTCGCTTGTGGAAAGAGATCTGGTTAAGTTAGTTAAGGTCTGCTGTTGAATTTACCAAGGAGTTCGTTACGATAAAGGTGATCTTCTGATTCAACAAGTAGATTCCACAGTGATTTGGGCTGTTCTTTCAGTCTTTGTTCTGTATGTAACGTCTGTAGTTAAGCAGTTAACGAGCACCTTCTGAGTGCAAAGCTTACAAATAAAAGATTTTGAGTCTTGAGTGCTTTGCGTTGAAAGATCTGAGCTACAAGAACGTGCAGGCTGCATAGATCTTTAATTTCTTTATTATTAAAGACCACGAACTGCCCGTGGGTTAATTCTCAGAGCTCTGTGTTGTCATGCCTGCCTCTGCCATATTAAAATGATTCAAAACCAGGCAGCGTCATTTTCAGTGCTTATTAATTCAGTACAATATTCATTCACCAGGGGAACACAGGGTGAACATACAAACTCCACACAGACAGCGCCCCAGGAATTGCACCCAGAGCCCCAGGACTGCGAGGCAGTAATGATAACCACTCTGCCGCCATGCCATCTCATGCAACATTATTGTGTTCTTAAGACTTGACAGGTTCTAAATAAGACACCATGCTGCCCTACTGACGTACGTTTCACATACCATCACAACAACTGTAAATATTGTAACCATGGCTGGTCTATGGAAATGGACTTTGGACAGCTGTGTCTCGTGTTCTGTGTTGCTTTGTTACTCCTATCAGGACGAAATGGGAACGTTGTCTCTCCTGTTTCGTGTTGAAATAGCAGTGGTGCATTGTGTGACTGGCCATGTCTAGACAGGAAGGAGGAGCGTTGTGTGAGTTTGGGTCAGAGGTCAGAGGTCGTGAGTAGTCGGGGTTTGGTGTTAGTCGTGCGTAGAAAAGGAACCTCCCCGTTGTGTCTCACAGAGTTGTTGGACTTGTGGTGTTTTACCTCCATTGGTGTCACACTGAGTTTCCACTTGCGCAATCAGATTAGATCAAATGAAATTCTGAGGGTACTGAAATACTTGAGGGATTTATATTTTATTTCCAGAGTGAAAGATCGCTCACGACCCTGAATTGGAAGAAGTGGATAGAAAATGGATGGTTGGTATATTTCCATCCGCAAAGCAGAATCCAGTGGGGAAATGTCACCTTCAGAAATGAACACATCTGAAAACACGAAGCCAAGATGGCCTGTCCAGTGATACAAGATCTGTTCTCTTGCCACTTAAGCTAACTTAGGTGTCAGGTGTTGATGGATTGGCCTCAAAGGCCACACTGCTGTGTGGGTGCACAACCTTTCACAAACGGTGGTCATTTGGAGTTTTCCTATTAAGAAGGAACAACGCATGTGGACCAGGTTGTAACGTTAACAAGCTGCAACATCAGTGCTCTGAAGCTGTGCAGATGTTAAGTGTGGAGGTGTGATGCACAGGGCTGTGAGAGTGGTACCTTATTCACCCATTGAATAGCTGCTGCTCTCTCTTCTGACAGTGAGGTTTAATGTATACCGCTGTATAAGCAGCAAAAGTGCTGTTTTTTTTTCAACAATTCTAGACTACAAGCAAACAAATAACGTTTGCTTTTAGGATATGGGGTCTCATTCCAGAATGTAATACAGTGACTGCTCCCTTGTCAAGTTCCAGCTCCTGTGTCTAATATTATCTTGAGGGTGTAGCAGCAGATACGTTCATCTGTATAAAACCCTGTTTCTTCCTCTGTTTCTAGTGAAGCTGGTGGCCTGTTACGAGGACCGGACTGTCACCGTGACCCAGGTATAGTGTTCCTGAACGCTCAGTAGGCCGAGCACTAGATCCCAGCAGATACAGGTGCGAGGAAGAGCCCCAGTGTTCTTCGAACGATTGTCGAGACCTGCTTTTGCTTCTGGCTCTACAAAACGTTCGCGGCATCATCTTGAAGGAACTCTTTGAGATTTCGCCGAGCCGGTGGGGCGACGTGGTCCAGGGGCCTGTGAAAATATGTGTCCGTTTTCAGTTCTCACTGCTGAATCACTTGCTGTGTGGCGCTGAAATGACTCTGTTGTTTTTGTGGGCTCGTCTCTGTCCCTTCTTCTGCTGGTTGTGCTGTCAGTGCATCCCTAACCATGCAGCTCTCATGCTGTGCAGCTTCAGTACCCAGCTAACTGTACGACCTGCGGGTTAATCCCATTGACCTTATCAGATACCGTTTCATATTGATGCCTCATCTAGGTTTTCAGGGTGGGAACATCATCCTGCTTTTTTCCTGTCCGCGGGCTTGCTGAAGGTGCAGCTGTTCCCTGACTGGCGTGATAGATGAGCTCCAGGAAAGTCACCCTGTCTCCTTCCACTTGTTTTCTAACTCTTCATCCAATCCAGGGCTGTGGGGGAGTAACTCCGGAAATTGTCCCTGGTGTGAGGATGTGTGTTTCTGTTTGTCTGTCCTGTGATGGACTGGTGTCCTGTCCAGGGTGTGTGTGTGTCCGTCCTGTGGTGGACTGGTGTCCTGTCCAGGGTGTGTGTGTGTCCGTCCTGTGGTGGACTGGTGTCCTGTC